CGTGAAAAAATAGGTTGTTAAGTACTACCACTTCGTTGTCAAACAATTCAAGTAAACAAACCATTAAGTTCGGACAGTCAGTGTCAATGTCTTAAGGCGTTTTTGCTGCTGACAATCTGCAGTCCAATAGGCAAAATATGTCTGGTTTTCTCGCATGAAGTAGGCCGCCGCGCCTCTTTCGTAGTGTTCCGACACGCATCGGTAAAGTGGGTCTGTTAAAACTCTTCGAAACTACCACCTTAAATCGGGATGTTCTGTTTTTTTTGCCCGATTCATCCTACGACATGGTGGTATTGGGACCCCCTTTTCCTGCCGGCTTTGAGGTTTTCGTAGTCCGTGTTTTGCGGTCTAGACCGACGTACAAGCAGCGCATTGCTGCGGTCGTTACACTACCCTGTCAAGGTGAGAGTCCGTTTTTTTTGATTTTGTTCAACCCTTTATACGGGTGTGCAGGTATCCTTCCCCGCAAGGTTTAATTCTATCCACCGCCGCTTATAACATTAAGTAATATGTTTATTATACAAAACAAACAAAAATCTGATTGTTTAAACACTCTTGAAAATAAGCTCTCACAACCCAGTAAAGACATAACCCCGGACCCGTACTATTTTCCTAATCTCAATAAGTTGGGTAGACCCCTTTTGTATGTATTTATAATTCTTACTAACATTCTACACCACGGATTAATTTTATCTTAATCGAAGACACACGTATACGAGAACAGAGTAATTTTCGATTTGCAAATCCCTGGTTGACTACGAAAGAACGTCTCTAGGTAGGGACTCTTACAAGTCACAAAAAATTGGCAAAAAAGAAAAGGTAGACTGTCTTGTCTAGTAAGAGCTTCCGCTGAGTTCAAATATACTTAGATTAAAGGTCTTCTAGGACGACGTTCGAAGACCACTGACTTTCCTGTAACGTGTTCGTAGCTCGTTCAGTGTGATACGGGTTGAGCTGTTCTTGATGATATTTTGGTGTATCCATCTCTTTTTGTCCATGTTCTAATATCTCACTCTAAAAAAAAGATAGTACACAACAGTCATAGTGAAAACTGTAAGGTACACACCTGTTCACATCATATACGAAAGGTTAATGTCCTCGCAGTTGTCTAAGGTAAGTAGTACCCAATACCCCGTAATGTGTCCTCACACACATACCTCTCTCGTCTTGTAACGTAGATGGTGGTTGTCAACAGTTGTGGGTTTATCTTTCCAATCCCAGATGTGAAATAAGCTGCCGACCTAGTCTGTGGGTATTGTCCCTACTGACGATGATGCCTTCCGCGCGCCCTCGACCCAGCTCCTCCTCTCTTCTCTTCTTCTCTCCCCTCTCCTTCTTCTCATCACACCCCACTTGTATGGTACTCAAATCAATCCTTCATTTAACCTTAATTATATTTGTCCTATGTAACTCTCCATGAACAGTTGTCTTTGTGGTCCCCCAATATCTTCCCACCAAACCCCCGCGTCTGTTCTTCGCTCTCGCATTTGCCCTTTTCCCTGAAAACGTGTTTAAGGGTCCTTTATACGTTGTTCTCTCTCTCCGGTTAACCAACCCGTCGACAGGCTCTTATGGAAAGAATCGTTGATGTTGATATGTCAAATGAAAAAGTGGAAAGTGATGAAGCGATTTATTAACACAGAATAATGTTTATTTTGGACATTTCATGGACTTTAATGTTATGAAATGTTTTCTCATGAATGATGCGGAAAGCAGGAGGACAGAATTACATCTAAACTGACGCCGTTTTGCATTTCTAGGTTGTAGATACGAGCATGGTTTCATATAGGCTACTATTACGTTTAATCGTGTTTTATGCCGCTTGCCAAGATTTGATAAGTCGCTCGTAAAACACAGGAGGTATGGAAACTAAGAACACCATATGTGGTAAATTGTACAGCGAATATAACCCAACACATTAGTTGTAGTTCCTTTAACTGGTGGATATAGAGTTGCTGCAGTGGAGACGCTGCGCACAGCTGATCGACAAACGACCAAATACAAACACATAATTCAGATCCAGTCGTCATGACTCCACTCCGGAGGGATTCCCCGATCATTTCTTACAGTTTCTCATCAAGGGGGGGGTCTCCTGTCCCCGGTACAAACACACTGCCTGAGGAAGGCTATGTATTTTGTCATTAACCTTTTTCGGACCACTTATGTATTTATTTTGGTGACGATCCGACCTCCATGCTGCTACTCTGGTTCAAACTGCATCCACCAAACAATATGATTTATCTCCACCTCCGCAAAATAACCAAAATCTGACACGATGTGAGATGTTTTTTTTAGCTGTTCTGTCGTCATTTCCTGCGATCTTCTCCATGCAGTCAGTCC